TGTCTTGAACTGATGAAAAATATAGGCATCATATTACAGAAAACCATGCCAACCTTAATGAAGATTTCATTCAATACATGTATATTAAGTAATTTAAGTACTTCATTGAAAGACTTGCATGAGATAGTAATTTAAGTAATTTAACTAATTTACTTACCTGTCCTAACTTCATTGCATGAGATATTTCTGGGAAACATGAAAGACTTACTGTTAGTTAATATACTTAGTTTAGATATTATATTCTAATTAATGAAACATAGTAATTTTTAATTATACTTACTTGCATCACAAGCAGCTTCTTTACAAAATATCAAACCTGAAATAACAAGTAAAAGAATTCAGTTGTTTAATTATTCTATGACTTTGTTTTGTACACATTATACTTAAAAAAAATTGAATGAACTATATATGAAATGACTTACATAATTTACTTCACTTCATTTTAAATAAAATCCTCCTGTAAGAAATAAAAGCCTTATGGTCATGGTACATTTGTCTAACTTTGATCCATTGTGATCAGAATATAGATAAAATGCCAGACATAACCAGATTAGATACCAGATTTGAAAATATTATATATATAATTGCAGTTTTAAGCTTAAGGTTATTGCTTTCTTTGTTTATAAAATAAATGGAGTAGAATATTTAGATTAAAAGCTGTATAACTAAAAATTAACAGGAAAACAATTTCACTGAGACATTGTTGTTTTAAATATTCATGAATATTACTACCAACCACAATATTTATGAAGTAAATTCAGATTTTCATCTAAATCCTAAAAGAATTTAGAAAATCCTTCAATATTGTAAAACAAGTTTAAACACTTAACATAAAATACCATCAGTATATCAGGTCTATCATCGGAGACCTCCTCTATTACACATGATTTTTAACATCATGCATTCGTTGTCAAATTACAAATCTGAACATGCATGGATCTGTGAACAAATTCTTCGTGATTCGAATCGAAGCAGATAAGCTCCTTTTAAAGAGATCTAATAAAAACATCTAAATCTTATATGAACCCCAAAAATTATCAAAAATCATGGAGAAAAGATTGTCCTAAAAAACAAAACATATAAATAATCCTATTTCTGAGATTTAATGAGATCTGAAATAAAAATCATAATATGTAAAAAATTGGTCTATCATCAGAGACCGTCTCATCTTAAAAATGAGATCATCCTTTTGTTTTGAATAAGTGGATGACATTCGATTTCTTCAGTGTGTGATAAGAAGCCAAAAGAATTACGAAAAAAATAAAAAAAATAAAAGAAATGAAACAGAAACAGATGGATACAAGAGAGAGAACCAAAACGTACACGTAAGCAACGTAGGAGGTGAACTCCATCGTAGCACAAACCGGTATTACTATAGAAATTTGGAGGGTTGAGAAAAAAGTAGGAGATAGGAGAAGGCAGAAGATATGGTCAGGATAACTGCGGCGGAAGGAGAAAGAATTTTAAGTTGGACTGGACTTGACTGAATGTTGGACTGGGCCGATGCATCACACTCATTTGGGCGGGCTGAGAGTGGAAGAGTATAATGCTATTTACGGAGTATATGTTAACTACGTAGTATTTGTTACTACTAAAATAACTTTCAATTTTTTTTATCACAAATCTTTTGTAGTTTTTTTTAAGTAATTGTCTTATTAACTAAATAACATTATTCAAGCAGGAAGCGATGTTCATCCCAGCACCCAGTTTACCTCATTATAATAGTAGGTATTGCATGTAGTCTATTTTTAATACACATTTTTATGTTAGTAATTCTATTTAAAATTTAATAAATTTTATGATTTCTGAAGCATCGTTTATCTGTCCGTGCATCGCACGGGTGATGTACTAGTTTGTACCTAACAGTAATAACAAAAACATGTTTAGGAAATAGATTTCCACATATGTTGGAAGGTCAGGGTTGTTCTCTATTATTGAAACTCTATAACTGCATCAAAAATCAACAACTAATGAGTAGCAAAGTTAATTTCACAGTGGTCATTGTATGACTGAAATCAGATGTTGAATACATGATCATGGGCATCGGTAAAATGGTAAAAGGGGCTTGTTTTTTCACTATCTCCGATGGCCAATTACAGACACTTTCATTAAAAAAATGTGAGAAATTGTTTGAGAAATATGGTCTTAGAATGTAGGAGTTTAAATGATTTCACTGAGTAAATTGGAAATAGGTTGTGTTTAGAATTTGGTGTACTTTTATTAAAAAGTAGTGATTGAATAAGTTTATATTGGGAATGAAATCAATACTAAATTTACTTTAAAAACACATTAGAGTCTCAAATGTATAAATCTTTTTTGAATAACTACTGAGAACAATGAAAAGAAGGACGTAAAATTTAGGGAACAATCAATACTGTGAAAAAAACAAACAATAGAAGACTTTACCAAAAATTGGTACTAAAAATTGGTCCAATGCAATTGGTGTAATGAAATTGGAGGGTTTACAGGATGCCTCGCGCCTGGTCCGGCCACGAGGGATTTATGGGAGGAGGGTTAGGCAGGACAGGAACAATCAATCAAGAGATCAGATCAGCACAGGAACAATCAATAAACAGATCATATCGCGACAGGAAGAATGAATAAAGAGATGAAATAGCTATAAGTGCTCTAATTCATTTACATAAGCTGTTTTTCCATTGCCTCGCCACCAAAAAAAACTTGCAGTAGGTACTAAGAGGACAAAATAAAATATCACATGAGAGAGCTTAATAAACACAAAAATACTCATACCAAGTTCGACATTACCGAAGGGCAAAATTTGGACCACCATGCTTAAAAGAATCAGCAGCAGTGCATTTACCTATTCCAAATCCCACAAAATATAAATAAGTATTAAAAGAACGATATGTGACATTAAGCCGCGTGGAGAATCAAGACCAACCATTGTTAGTGGGGTTTGGCATGGGAAATAGAGGTCGTCTAGTGGAATCTAAATTCCGTGTGGCCCATTTCAACCCGTCCCTTCACGAAAATAGAGAAACAAGACACCCTGTTCAAATACAGGAATACATGCAAAATAAACAGAATATCATAAACAAAGGCACACAGACATGAAGCACATATACGTACACTAACAAAAAAAAATCTTTATCCAAAACAGCTTGTCCGGGTCTTAATAGTACTGAAATATGTTGGTATCAATAAGAAAATTAAAATAGATGTTTCCTAGACATACCTGAAGAAGCAATTCATATTTAGAGTTAAATAAGAAAAGACTGAAGGCTCTGTGAAGCACATTCTTAGAGTAGCAGCTTACCCCAGAAACAGGTACATATCATTGGTTTGATTTACATAAGCTGTTTTTCCATTGCATCTCCACAAAAAAGGGAAAAAAATTGCAGCAGTTACTAAGAGAACAAAATCAAATATCACATGAGAGAAGCCTAATAAACAGAAAAGTACTCCTACCAAGTTCAACATTGTCGAAGGCCAAAATTTGGACCACGATGCTTAAAAGAGTCAGCAGAAGTGCATTTGCCTATTCCAAATCCCACAAAATGTAAATAAGTATTAAAGAATGAATATATGACATTAAGTCGCTTCAAGAATGAAGACCACCATGGGAAATAGAGGTGGCTTAGCGGAATCTGAATCCCATGTGGCCTTAACCACCTATTTGTATATG